GATTGGTGTACATTCTTAACAATATACTTTTTCTTAGCCCTCAGCTGTTTTCACTAGATTTTTTTTTTTTTTTTTTTTTTTTTTTTTTTTTGTAAATATGTGATAAAATGGGGAAATTTTTCTGTCCCTTTCATAAACCTATACAGAGTTATAGATATAATGCGTATTAAAAGCTAGAGATGAAACGAGCATTATCTTGTAGGTATTATAGAAATATACAGGCATCTTCCTAGATGTTGGGACTAGATAATTAGTAGTAAGAGGAGCGGCGCAAGGTCTATAGAAACAGTAGAATTGGCTTAGATGTCAGTTGAGTAACTATAGCCTCGTGTACCATTATATCAATTATCCCACTACCGGTGCTTCGTACAATAGGATAATTGCACTTGTATACGCTGGAGTAGGCTTGCCTGTATTTAAATACGCTCCAATGCATTCTATGCTCTTGTGCTTTTTCTCGTCCTCATGTAGGCGAAATATACAAGTGCAATTGGCTATATACAATATACAATTGCAGTGGTTTTGACAGCGTCAGTCATGGATAAGTCAGTACGCTTCAATGATCGCACTCATGTCTATATCACACTCGGAGGGCAACCCATCTCATATCTGGCACTTAACTCTGATTTTCCTGGCTCTTCATAGATAATCAGAGCAGCGTCATTTTGTCATTTCTTTAAGATTGACGTTAATGACAGCGTGTGTTGACTGATGAGGTGCGGCGAGGCCGGGTAACGTTGCCAACCTTTCTGAGGACACTATTTCAAGCCACTCATTATTCGTGATTTAGACAATTGTATCATATCGAACGGATGAAGAAAATGGTTGGGAATAATGCCCCTTTTGAAACAAAATGTCAGTAAATTACTAATACTAGCAGTCTATGGATTAAGGTTTTGGAAATAAGATGGGCCAATATCCTTGAGAATGAACATCGGACTTTTTTTTTTTTTTGACAACCACGTAACTGACACAAAAGCTATTGATTCACATGTTTGAGGCGCCTTTGGCGATAACTAGAAGTAAGATTCTGTTGAATCTCATAGGAATATGTTGGTACAGTTGAGTTATCAAAATATAATTAAGGTTCAGGACTTTTTTGTGATCGACCAGATATGTTATTACAATCAAGACATAAAGAGATACGACTTCACCCCTCTCATTATTATATTTATTATCAAACTTGCTCTAAAAGGAAAATGATTTCCGATTTTTTTTAATTAGCTAAATAAACTCTTATCTTATTATTAGATATCCCCTTATTGTATTTTTTTCTTCAACTACCCAAGGGACTGGTGAGAGATTCGATCTTGTGTCTATTTACTCTGCGGCACGTTTCAGGTGTAACATTACAATTAAACCCCTTGAAAACATCTACAGCTTCCTATGTGATCAATACTTTTGATAAATTTGTCTAACCAGAGACATTTATTAGGATTAAAGGGATTCCAAGGCTTCTCGAAGCATTCTTGGACACTTTCGGTGTTTAGCCATATTGAAATTGGTAGAATGATTTTCGTGAGGGATTATGTGATTTATTGACTAACTGTTTGTTTGACTAAAATATTTCCAACTGCACATAATAAGAAAGTTAACTTTTGAGGACACCAGTAGCATTGTATTGGCAGAAATTTCAGGTTATTTTTATTATTATAATTTTATTATTATTATTATTATTTTTTTTTGGGGGGGGGGGGGGGGGTTATGATACCACAAAACGGGTGGGCTATGATATAAGCATGGTGTGTCCGCACCAAATTAGAGTGAATACAGACAGTCAGACAGAACAGACATAGATGTTAGCGGTTTCAATTTTTGATTTGACATTTTCCCTTTATTTGAGGATGATGTTCTTTTTGATCAGCTTCACTTTTTTGTCTGATGCACTGGCATGCAATGTACTGGTCAAACAACAGGGGCTACTTTTGGAGGGGAGAATTACATGTAAGTGGTGCTTAATGAAATATTTTTAATTACTGCTAGTCTGATACCAGAATCGCACGCTTGGCTATAGAATCACGTAGTCACTGGGTTAAATTTAATCTAGTTTATTTTTCCCATCGAACACTTCGAAATTTAATTAAAGTTTTATTTAATTGTTACTTAAAATGTGCAAGTGGCTTTAGACTATAGTTCGCCCCTGTGCATCAAATCTACATGCCTGACTTAACTACTGCACCGTGTAATTGGCGAGTCAAAACGCCGGCAGCAGATGCATGCAGAAAAGGAAATAATAAGGAAGTCTCTCCTCATAACAACGTTAGTCGGAAAGACAATACAGAATTATTTGTGTAAGGGCACTTGGCAAGAAAGGTTGCCCTGGGAAAACCCACCGAATAATTCCATTAATTAATTGAAATTGCTTTTTGGCAGTGAGAAAAAACACAAATAGAGATCTATTTTATCCCCATCAAACATGGGTCTGTTAAAATTTTACTAATATTATGAAAACTGTAGACCTTTTCTTCTCGGGAAGTGTCATGTTTTCCTAGTGAAATCCCTACCTACGCCATGAATCCTTATGAAATTACGCATTAGTATTCACTGTAAAGAGCAGTCAAGCATTTTATTAGTTTATTCTGTACTCTTTGAAAGTGATATTCTCTCTCTGGGTTGAACATAATATCAATATACCGACATTTATTGGGTACTTAGTTGGATACTCTGTTTTTTCCGCTTATCACGCCGGGCCAGTGCAAATAACCACTCTGCCCTTCAATAGAACTATCTTTCACTCTTCATCAAACGTTTTGTTACTTCCATCCATAGTGACATAGTTTAATGTTTCGGGTGGGGGTGGTGGTGGTGGTGGGGGTGGGGGGGGAGTGGAGAGGGGTAGGGGGTTAAATTTCACGAAAGGCAAAAATCACTGGAATGGTCTTCATTAACCCTCAAGAGACCAAGCTATTTTACTGACTGAAATGACCAAGTGGGGTCATCTATGACCCCATTGTGTTCTGTACAGGGATCCTTATTATAAAAGGCTATTGAGGGTTTATCACACCTATACTACTCCCAGGATTTAAGACAAGTATTTTATAATGATCTAATGTAATAAGTATTTGGAAATAATACTTTTATTGCATTAAATAACCAATCACAGATTTTAAGAACAACATTACACCGGTATTTAGACAGTCCTTGTCAGTTTCCACATGTAGAAATATTTCTCTTTTTATTTGCCACACTAATGAAAAAAGTACATTACAAAATTACTTTGAGTAAAAATATTTTGACTTACGTTCAGATAGCATCATGCTAACTTCAAAAAGAATAATTAGCTAATTGCTGAGTAGGAATACCCTAATGCTGGTAAGGAAGTCATACTACTCAGAACACATTCAATCAACCTACATATATGTTACTACCACATCTGCGTATAAAACAAAATCCACACAAACAATTTGTTAATATATGTATAATATGATATCGACAGAATTCTTTAGATTTTCGAAATACCCAAAAATTGTAACCGTCAAAATGAGAGACCCAGTTATGAGAACAAGTTCCAACAAAGCTACTGAAATTAGATTTAGCGATGCACTATTAGTAACACTTCAAGCACAATCTTCACAAACCACTTATTTGCGCCTATGTTTTGGGCACACTGGCTGGTTGCATGAAGCAGATGCATGTGACATTTTTCTGTCAGTGTTGCATGGGCAAAACATTTAAATAAAATTTGAAAACTAATATTTAGAAACCAATGCTTCTCTTTGGGGTCATAAATGACCCCACGAGAGTTTGTGATGTATACGCCACACTAATTGGTTGATCCCTACAAAATACTGTGAAAGTGTGTAGGATTAGTAGACTGACAAACTCATGCAGGGAAAGAAAATTCGAGTAAAGAATAAAGAGATGGCACATTAAATCATATGGCTGGGGTCGTAAATGACCCCACTCGGTCACTTGAGGGTTAAAGGTACATATGAACCGAGCATCAGTGGAGCGTGGATTCCCAGTAATCCAAATAAACCACTTCTACTAGTTTCTTATACGACTCAAATAAAGTCGACATGCCAAGGGAAAAACTGAATAAACCACTCGATCAGCCATAAAAGAGCTTTTGACTGCTCCTTTCTTTTATATTTTTGGTCAGAAATGTAACCTACCTACTTGACCTACTTTTCTCTTTTCTCAAATGATATTTGAACGGATTTTTCTGCCAGCTTTTTATATACAGCATAAAAAGCTGGCAGAAAAATCCGTTCAAATATCATTTTTCGGGTAATATCAAACAATATCTTTTGGTAATTCTCTTAGTTATACTATTTGGAATTATATGCTGTCGTTTGGTTGGTTTTTGTGGCAAAAAATTGACTTCATATGCATCTTTAAGAAGCAGCATTTATCACAAAGTAAAATTCATTACCCGGCGATAGACAAAAAGCAATCACCAGGAGAACAAAGACAAACAAGTATGCTTTCCAGATATACGATATCAAAGGGGTTTATGTAATATGTAATATACCACGCAGAGAGAGGAAATTATACAGTAGATACGAGTCGTTATAAGACATAATTAGAAGCACGATGATTGAACGCGATACATGTCAAGCAGTATGTCTGTTTCGTGGCACACACGTAGGAAGTCTTTGTGAACGTTGTCAAAAAAATATCACTAAGAAGAGTTGTTGACCTATGAGAAGGAAAATCGAGGTAAACGTTGCCATGGCGATGTTGACATAACTTACCGCGATGTCGACAAGTCCTATTTAATGACGAAACCGAAACCAAACCATTGAAGCACTGCTACAGAGCACAGTGGAGCGAGGAAGAGTTGAAACACTACAGTTATTACAGTGAGTTCATTTTTGAAATTGTATCGTTTCTGCTTTTTTACACGTTGTAATCAGGAACTTGACACGGAATACAGTTCTTGGCCGATAGCATATTGTCATACGGTAGGCTTTAAAATATATTTGGCTTACGTGATGAGCAAATGACATAATCTTTGATTAAGAGATTGACAAACTGCCGTGGGGTAAGAAGAAACAATGAATCAATCCAATATCTCTGATTGGAACCCCACTTACTGGTCCAGCTTTATCCAGAATCCGCCAGACATGGCTGAGTGGGGGTTCTGGCTGCGTTTTATCGGGCTCCCCTTCGTGATCATTCTGGGCCTCTGTGGCAACTGCACTGCGTTTCTTGTGATGTGCTTCTCACCGTTAAGGAAGCATTCCTACAGCTACTACCTGGCGGCACTCGCTGTATTTGACACTTGGTCTTTGGTAATTCGTTCCCTACACTGGATAAATCTCCTGCAGCAGCTTCGAGGGCGTCCGCCACTGGTGGTGTTCGAGTCCACGCTGTCTTGCAAGCTAAGCGAATACCTGTTCACCGCCGTTCACATCTGCTGCTCTTGGCTGATAGTGCTGATCGCAATGGAGCGACACTACGTCGTCTCCTCTCCACTGCAGGCCAGGAAAAATTGTACGCCAAAGGTGTCCCGAGCAGCTGTGGGGTGTCTGGCCCTGGCAGCCCTGATGATCGAAATCTACGCCGCCGTGTTAACTGACTACCGACCCGGCCTGGGGTGCGGGATGACAGACTCTTACATCGTGTGGCATTACGTGATCGCCACCAGTTTCGTCAGCATGCTGCCCCTGATCCTCATCTTGCTCTGCAACATCCACATCACTTACCTACTCCACAGGTTGGACTATATCACCAACATTTTCCGCAACGATCACAAAACAAAGCGAGTCACCTACATGCTGTTAATGGTGTCGGTGGCGTTCATAATCCTGGTGATGCCGAACGCGCTGCTGGGCTTAATCCTGACCATCCGCGTGGACTGGATACCGCATCTGGTCATGCTGGCGCCCCCCTTCAACTTGCTGTGGGACATCAATTTCAGTATTAACTTCTTCATCTATGTCATATCGGGCGTGGAGGTTAGACGGGAGCTCAGAGGGATGTGCTGTTCTCCCTGCCAAGGAAGTGAAGCGATGGACATGGTGTCCCCTAAACTGCCGGGAGGATCTTCACAGTCTGTCCACCTGGAGACGGTGTCTGGCACCCTCTCTGCGCAGTCACAAAGCTCTGCTCTGTCTGCCGGCGATTGTCCCTAAACAATCTTAAGAACGGTGCATGTGGGCTCATATATAGTTTAGTACAGATTTGACTGAGATAAGGTGCCAGTATCCTGCCAAAAGTAAACGGTTTTCTTTTTTTCTGTCTGAGGTAGAAAGAAGTCCACTCACGGTCTTACAGTAAAAGGAAGGTAAAGATCACAATAATTAACGCTTTTGTAAGTTGGAAACAAATCACATTCGATACAGCGATTTTTGTATTGTTAGGAGCAACTTCATTAGTTACTTGTATACAGCTGTATGTGCCTACCGCCTGATTTCCAGTTAAATGGTAAGTAACATAGAATTAAAAAACAAATGTTTCATTAAAAGGTATAGGAAATATGGCTTTTTATAATTTCGATACACTTTCATGGTTAGAGCTGTACAAAGTTAAAACAGTCCTTTAATGATTGTCTGAATATGACATTAAGATAAGCGATCTTTTACTTAAACTGAATTAACTGGCGCTTTAGAAGGCCCTTAAATTTCGCATATTGACCGTAGAAGGTATGCTTTTAGGCGTTCTGCAAATTTTATAAACACTAATACCTATTATTTAGTTTTGGGTGTTATCATTGTATCTTGACATGGAGATCAGATATTATATGACCGGACGCTGTGCTTCTTGATAAGAATGAGAAAATCAACCATGGCAAAATCTAGATGCTACATCTGTATTGTAAGGTTTGTCAAATTTACCTTTACAAAAAGGAAATGGTATTTCCATATCTACCAATGATTAAAATTTGCAGAAAGTTGCATGATAACAGAAATATCTATTCAAATATGCTTAAAACCAACGATCAGCTGTTATCTACTTATTATTTAGGTGAGGCTTATTTCATTATGAAAAGAGTGTAAGTAAACGATCAAATGAGGAAACTCATTTAAGTTTGTTTGCATAGTACTCAAAGACGCGAAAGAAAAGCTATAAACATAAAAATCATAAACATTAAGTCCCGCTTTCATAAATCAAATTAAGGATGGTAATGTTTATTTAACGTCTGATAAAAAAATTCAACATCAGGCAACACTCGAAAATCACGAAAACAAGCTATTAAATATATTTGCCAAATGCGCAACATGCACCTGTCACGGAGAGAGTTCATTTAGAGATATCTAAGTATTAGCTATTTCGTTACTGTATCATTTACTCGATAGTGATAATCTGGAACAAGGCTTGTCAGTGATTAAGATTGATTACTAATGTACGTGAGAAACTTGCGTCATTTTTTAAACCATGTCCGAGAAAACGTTTAAAAATGACAGACCAGCCTCACGGAAATGATGGTAAATTTGTGAAACTCCTAGAACCCCCCCCCCCTGCGGTAATTAAATATAAAACTAGTATAATTAAGACATCCAGTTAACAAATAGTGTCTCATCATAGTATTCTCTACATGATATATGTATTAATGATTCATATGCACTATTTTAATGTAGATTCTAGTGTAGTTTATATCAATTTGTACTTAGTTTCTGCGGTATGGTCATAAAAACTTTAGCTTATAATCTTCTGGTATGAAATCACTGTTAGCACTGATACTATTTTCTTCTGTATCCAAGGATCAAATCCTACATACTTTAGTGCGAGCTTAGGACACATCTTTATCTGCCGTTGTCAAAATATCCTTTCCATTCAGTATTATCTGTGTTATAAGACTCCGTAGAAATCTAACACGGTATGTCTTTCATTTTCTTTGTGAATAATATTCTGCTATGGCCAGTATTCAATTTTATGTATGTAATTCTAAGGGCATTCAAAAGTATTTTTCATTCACGTATATTTTTACCTTGCAATAGAGCATTTGGTTCTTTTTTTATTTCGTTATACGTTATTTATAGATTTATAAAAAATCCAGGGCAGTCACGGTGTAATATCGCAAATAGTTTATTCTTGGTTTGTTAAAAGATGACTACAATAATTCGACTGTGCGATATTTGTTTAAAGAGCTTATTGGTTTAGGAATTTGGTTTATTGATTTAGGAATGATTAGCCTGCAATGAATGTCTCACATACCTAAAAACGCTACTGCTACAAATGAGAGAGAAAATCACTGTCAATGTCAAGGCCATCACAATTACGTGCTTAGTTAAAAAAACTGAAAATATGGAAGGCTCAAGCGGTCTTTACATACTTTGTCAAACGCAACTTAGTCAGCTAATTTGCATAACAATCTTTTTCGATGTTCAACATCGGTTGTTATGTGAAACAAGCCCCTAGTTTTATAGCGGGTGTTATGTGATCTAAAAGGCACAAACCATGCACAGGGTATGTAACCATATAGATAGTTGTTTTTGGATATGTATCCAATCTCTTTTTCAACCATTCATTGTTTGATTTATTAATGCACACATCTACAAATCTTATTGTACCGCTGAATTTTTTTTTTTTTTTTTTTTTTT